CTCTCTCTCTCTCTCTCTCTCTCTCTCTCTCTCTCTCTCTCTCTCTTTTTCCCTCTCCCCGTCTCTACCTTTTTCTCTCTTTCTCTCTCTTTCTCTTTCTCTCTTTGTCTTTCTCTCTTTGTCTTTTCCTTCTTTCTCTTACTCTCTTTCATTTTCTCTCTCTCTCTCTCTCTCTCTCTCTCTCTCTCTCTCTTTTTCCCTCTCCCCGTCTCTACCTTTTTCTCTCTTTCTCTCTTTGTTTTTTCCTTCTTTCTCCCACTCTCTCTCTCTTTTTTTCTCTTTTTAGCTCACCTTGACATCGTCAAGATGAGCTATTGCCATGGGTCGTCGTCCGTCGTACGTCCGTCCGTCTTTCCGTCAACATTTGGCTACGGTCAACGATAACTCAGGAACCGTTTGACTCACATGTTTGAAATTGGGTATAGTTGTTACTGCTATGGGAGAGGTTTGAACGTCCTATTTTGGAGCACGCCAGTCGACATACTTTCGAGCCACGGCAATTTTTTGGTAAAAATGGAAATTGCCATTAGTCAGTTCAGGTTCAACGGATTTTGCTCATTTTTGGTACGTGAATGAATAAGGGCTGGCCCCAAAACGTATTACAGGGGCTTGGATATTTAAAAAAAAAATTATGCAAATTAGGTAGGTTTTGGCAATTATATAGCATAGTATATAGACACGCAGATAACAGTCTGTGGTGTCACACTCGTCTGGTTCGTTTTACAAGATTTCATTGACAATATCTTTAATGTAAAATTGGTATTTCCTCTCCACCCTGCCGATAAAACGTCTATATTAGAGTAAAGTTTTACAAAACATGTCGGAACGCAGTATAAGCTATTTATTTCGAACGCCATCGCTAAGAAACATCAAAGCAGGTATAGCGCCATCTACCGTCACAATCTGTGATTCATTTTGGTTTATAAATGATTATTGCGATATACAGATGGCAACCGTGTGCTACCGCCTAGAAAAACTCATACGAAGTAAACACTTCCATGCAACCAATTAACCTTTGACAAAAGTTGTGTTATGGGCAGGGAAACACCATTGTCACGTGGTATATAGCAGCTACGTGGAATAAGCGTATCCTCTCAATCTTACACGTTACACATCGGGAGCTCCGCTTTTAGGCGATGCCTAAATCTGAATATTATAAAAACGTTACTGCCTTGCTAGCTCCAAGAAACCGTCTTGCTAGGGGTATTTTTTTTTGAGGGGGGGGTTGCGATTTTTTAGTACATATGTTACTAGAAAGTAGTTATTTTATGCTAAAAACAATGAAGGAATGAATTAGAAGTCTAATTCATACCTTTAGTATTGTACCACTAAATACTGTTAAAACTGTGGTGGCTAAACTGCCCCCCCCCCCACTCGGTGCACTTGTTCCCACTCACTCATTTGTGCCTTTTTTGTGGTGAGCTACAGTGTCATTGACACTTTCATTTCACCTCCTCTCTCTCGCTCTCTTTCTCTTTTCTCCCCACCTCTCTCTCTCTCTCTCTCTCTCTCCTTCCCACTCGCTCAGACCCTCTCTCTCTCTCTCTCCCACTTTCTCAGACCCTCTCTCTTTCTCTCTCTTTCTCTCTCTTTCTCTCTCTCTCTCTCTCTCTCTCTCTCATGCACTCGTTCTCTCTTTCCCTGTCCCCCACTTGCTCACTCCCCAACTGTTTCACACTGTTGTTGTTGGGGTTATTAGGTTGGGGACGAGGTGACTGACTGTGCAGAATACAGACTGCAATGCTGTCAGGAACCTGCAAAACAAGAAGGGATGGAATTCTCAGACATCTACCAGGGAAGCACAGTTCCCTACAGGTGTGAGTACTCGTTTGTGTATCTACACGTGCTCAGGTGTTCACTAATTCTGCAACTAGCAACATTTCACAATTGCACGACAGAATCAAGATAGGAACAGTATACTCCACGTGTAATAATGAACTGCCTGCTGCTGTTTTAGTGAGGAACACCAAGCCCGATACACCATATACATTCCGCGTGGCCGTGCGAGCAGAAGGCGAGAAAACCTGGAGCTTGTGGAGTGCCTGTCACGTTACCATGACCATGCTCGGTCACTATGGTGCGTGACGACAGCTTTTTTTCTTAGATGACAGTTCGAGTAGTTAAGGGTGTAGTCATATAAGCTGTTTTCGTGTCTAGTGGCTCAACATTGACAGTTGGCTTTCCATACGATTCTGTAGGACTCTGAAAAAAAAACCAACATGTGGTTATTGTAACATTGTACTTGTTGTATTGATCATGTAACTGATATTTTCAAGTTCCATGAATCTTTTATAGTTTGAGTAAGCTTACCTAAAATCAATGTGTGGCTAATTGAATTGTGAAATGTAACTGAGCTGAAGTTCTGTGCACATGTTTTAGCGAAAATTAATTGGCATTGCAACAAAAAGTGTAAAATCAATTTGATTTTTTGAGTTGCTATTTTGCACCTAGAAAGCTAATTTATTCAGCAGAATCATTAGTTTAAATGTTAGATTCCACGCGTTATGTGGCAGAGTATGAACAACTGTGCTGTACGTCACCCTTACATGTGTAGTTGCAATCATTGCTTCTCCACGAACTGTTGTTATCCCCTACATCTACCACGTTTTTGCATCTACCTCTTTTTCTCTTTCTGCCATTTCAGTAAATGCATTTTATGATTTCATCAGGTTCGTGGCATATTAGCTACTTTCCAGTGTAGGGCGTAGCATTGATGTATGTGATACAATGTCATACACCTGCGGTCATTGCATTCTAACTCTGCAGAATGCACGTTTATCGTGACTCTATATATTTGCATGGAGGGTAATGTGCCACCTTTCAGGACATCTGTTGACAAATGCTCTTTCTTCAGGTGTGCTCTGTTATGACATGACTCGTACGGCATTATACAATCATGGCATGACCTTGCATTAGAGCTATTACGAGTAACCCATTTTTTGCAAGTTGGTCCTAATCAGTTTTTAATTGTTACTTAACGTTTTCAGAGTGGGAAACCTGTAAACGACCACACTATGCTGTCAGCGATCAGAATAAGCTGGCTTCAAAACTCTCTGCACAGACACAGTGCATTTTCTCACGAGATCGCACCTACACTTGTGGCCAACTCCTCATATTCAGGATCGTAGAGCAAGGTGACTGTTTTAATGGGTAGACTATGGAACACTGTTAGAGCATTGATCACTGAAGCAGGGTTTATTCTAACGAGCAGCTGGGTAGCAAATGTGCAGTGAGAAATGTGACATGTTCATTTGAGATTAGAAAATTGTCATGGATTAGTGAAAATCCGTAAATCTGTATGAGATAGATTTACTTAAAAATTGTCATTCTTAATTTTACTAGATCAACTTTCTGATCAATTGTTTCCTATAATGATTTAGAATTAAGCTACTGATCTGTAGCAGCCCGCAGAACCCTTTGTTCTCATCGACATTTGTCTTTTATGTAGTTTTTAAAGTTTCTTAGAATAAGCCGTGTTTTAACAGCTTTCATTTAACAGTGAATTTGTGTTCATTTCGTTTAATCCTCGTGTACGTAAAGCAGTCAGTAAGGGCTGTTTTTATGTAGTAAATCAGTTACCGGAATGTGTTACAATCAGCACAATCATGTCTTAGAAATCTCCATTAAAATATTTTTAGCAGGTCGAAGCATAGACTGATGCTATATGTTTAAGGGTGTTTGTTTGTCTGTTGTTAGATTTAGCTGGGACCAGTCTATTTACTAGTGATCTCGTTAGTTAACACAAATATTTGATGAAACGTTACTTGCACGTACTAAAAATTATGGGCTGAAACTAGTTCTGACTTATCATGTAGTCTATATTTAATTAGTTTGCGTCTGTATTTAAAGAATGGTTCTTTGCATTTGATCTGTAAAAAGATACCTAGGAGAACCCAAAACGTGAAGTCATTTACAGAATCCAGTTGACTGAAGCTTAACAAAAACATAGTATGCAAGTGAATAGAATATAGAAGACTGTGATTAAAACTCACAGGAGATATTACGAATTATATTAGGAATAAGACTCATCGACAGCAAAAGGTTCATGAAGAGGCAATTCATTTCAGTTTCTTATGACAATTGAGCCATCGTAGCTATAACATGCTTGGAATATAAGCATGTGAACAAAAATTGTTAGACTGTAGTACTGAATGGCAGGCCTGGGTGTGTGTTGTATTGTAGGCAAACCGCACATGAGTGATGGTGTCGGATTAGTTGTGCAGCCCAGGCAGGCGAACGAGGATGAAGAAATGACCATCAACAGTCTGATGGGTAACGGTGCTTTCTGCGTGAGCAGCTCAGGTATTTCATCTCGCACTCGCACGTAAACATCCGCATCCATATAAGTCCTTGTTCTCTGTTCACCTCCCAGCATGTATATGGTTTCTGTCTCATCTCACCGAATCGTAAACATTGAGGTCCCTCTCCATCCTTATCGTTTTTCTACTCCTAGTTGTTGCAAGATGTGGTAATGCTTTTATCTAACAGGCAAGTAACTCTGCTATTATGAAAAGTTAGAATGATTTGTTTCAAAAGCCTGTGCAATGATGTGCATGCGTTATGCACATGCTTTTCTGTGTCTGTGTGTGCCTCCCTCCATGCCTGTGTCTGTGTGTGCCTGTCTCCATGGCTGAGTCGGTGTGTGCCTGCCTTCATGGCTGGGTCTGTGTGTACCTCCCTCCATGGCTGGGTCTGTGTGTACTCCTCTGCCTGGCCCGTCTGTGGTGCTACCTTCCCTCTGCCTGGGTCTGGGTGCTCCTCCATCGGCTGGGTCTGTGCTTATCTGTTCCATGGCTGGTCGGTTTGTACTCCCTCCATGACTGTGCTGTGTTACCTCCTCCTGCCTGCGGTTCTGTGTGTACCTCCCTCCATGGTGCGGCTCTGTGTGGTGGTCTTTCGTGGCTGTGTTGTGTTGTGCTGTTCATGGCCTGTGCTGTGTGTACCTCCTCATGGCTGAGCGTCTGTTGTGTGCTCCCCTCATGGCTGAGGTCTTGCTGTACCTGTTCATGCTGCGTGTATGTGTACCTCCCTCATTGGTGTGTCCTCTTCCATGGGTGTGTACCCCCTCATGCTGTTCTGTGTGTGACCTCCTCTGGCTGGGTCTGCGATGTGTGCTGTCTCTGCTGTGTTGTGTGTGGCTCCTCATGACTGTCCAAAAATCGCGACACGAACAATGAGGTCTGTGTGTACCCCTCCAGCTGGTCTGTGTGTACTCCTCCATGGCGGTGTCTGTGTTGTGCTCCCTCCATGGCTGGAGTCTGTGTGTGCCTGTCTCATGGCTGTTTGTCGTGTGCTCCCTCCATGACTTGGAGTGTCTGTGATGTCTCCTCCCATGCATGGGATATTGTGTGTACCTTCCCTCCATGGCTGGGTCTGTGTGTGCCTGTCTCCATGGCAAACTGTGTTCTGTGTGTGCCTCATCCATGATGTGTCTGTGTGTACCTCCCTCATGGCTGTGTCCGGTGCTTACTCGCTGCTGATGTACGTGTGTGCTCCTCCATTGATTGTGTCTGTGTGTACCTCCTCTATGGCTGGTCTGTGTATCCCTCCATGGCTGTGTCTGTGTGTGCGCCTTCCCTCATTCTGTGTCTGCCCTGTGTGCTGTTCCATGGCGAGTCTGGTGTACTCCCTCGGCTGGCGGTGAGCTTGTACGTATCATGGCTGCGGTCTGTGTGTGGCCTGTCTCCTGGCTGGGTCTGTGCAGACCTCCTTCTATGGCTGCGGTCTGTGTGTGCCTCCTCCATGCTGGTCTGGTGTATCCCTCATGCTGGGTCTGTCGTGTGCCTGTTCATGGCTGCGGTCTGTGGGTACTCCTCTATGGCTGGGTTGTGTGTGCATGTCTCCATGCCTGTGGTCTGTGTGTGCCTGGTTCTACCATGTGTGGTCTGTGGTGTACCCTCTGGCTGGGTCTGTGTGTTATCACCTCCAGTGGTGGGTCTGTGTGTGTTCTTTACTGTGTCTGTGTGTGGCTGTCTCCATGGCTGGGTCTGTGTCTGTTGCTTGTGCTCCAGTGGATGGTCTGTGTGTGCTCCTCTTGGCTGGGTCTGTTGTGTGCCTGTTCTGACCTGTGGTCTGTGTGTGCACTCCCTCCATGGTGAGGGTTGGTTGTGCTGTCTCCATGCGTGGGTCTGTGTTACCTCCTCCATGGCTGGTTGTTGTGCCTGTCTCAATGTCTGGGTCTGTGAATGTACTCCTTATGCGGTGGGGTCTGTTGTGTCTCTTCGTGGCTGATGTTTGTTGGTGTACGTTCCATGGCTGGGGTCGGTGGGTCTCCTCATTGTGGGTCTGTGTGTACCTACTCATGGCTGGTTTCTGTAGTGTACTCCCTATGATGGGTAACGGTGTGTGCTGTCTCCTTGCTGGGCGTCTGTGTGTGCCTGCCTCATGCTGGGTCTGTGAGCTGTGCTGTCTCAATTGCTGGGTCTTCGTGTGTGCTGTTTCATGGCTTGGTCTGTGTGTGCTGTCTCAGTGGCCTGGGTCGTGTGTGTTATTCCTCTATGGTGGGTCGGTGTGTACTCTCCATTGGGTGGAGTATGTTAGTCTCCTCCATGCCTGGCGTCTATTGACTGTCTCCTTCCGTGCTGTGTTTGTAGTGTGCTGTCTCATGCTGGGTCTGTGTGTACTCCTCCATGGCTGCATAGTGTCCTATCCCGATGCTGGTCGGTGTGGGCCTGTCTCCAGGTGCAAGTGTTGTTGTGCTTGTCTCCATGGCATGGGTCTTGTTTGTGCGGTTCTCATTGGCTGTGGGTAAACCTGGTGTGTACTGTCCTCTATGGCTGTGTCTGTGGGTGCCTCTCCATGACTGTGTCTGTGCTGTGCCTGTATCCCATGATGGTCGCGTGATGTGCCTGTTTCCATTGCTGGGTCTGTGTGTGCCTGTCTATGGCTTGGGTTGTGTGTGCTTCCTCATGACGTGTGTCTAGTGATGTGGCTGTCTCATGTGGGATCTGTGTGTGCTGTCTTCATGGGCTGGGCTGTGTGTGCTGCCTCCTGGCTTGGTCTGTGTGTGTCTCCTCATGGCTGGGTCTATGTTGTTGCTGGGGTGTTAGGCATGTGTTTGGGCGTGCTATTTGGGTGCGTTTCTGGCTTGACCAGTTTAACATTTGCGGACGGAATGCATGAATTTGCGCGTGGTGCTTGCCGTTTATGACCTGTGTGGCCTCATGCTTGCAGTGCGTCCTGCGGCGTGCATGGTGGTTGGGTGTGTGCGCTGCATGTGTCAATTCGGTATGTACGTGTGCGCGGTGTTACTGCATGTGACTTATTGCAGGTGTGGCCGTCATTCATTCATTATTTCCTCTCTAGGTTTAGATTTGATTGAAATGCCATCACTGTATAACTCATTAGGCTGCACTGCTAAATGAGGTATTCTGTGCATCAGCTGTATAGAGTCGCTTGGGAGTTGCGATGCAAGGTGTGGGTGTTTATTATCCGGAGCTGTGTTTTTCTTGTTCTCCACCTTGTTCAGGTTGTGGTAACACTTTTAGATTTAAGAAGATAGTGAGGACGAACTGTAGCTAAACTATCGTGGGAGTATCAGCCTTGCCATTTGTTTTTCGTTTGTGGGCTTCATGGCCTGTAGAAGTTTTTGCGAGAGCTGATTTAAAGTAGATGTCTGAATCCGATGGTTTTGTTGGATCCGACTTGTATTTGCGCTGAAGCAGTAGCCAGTCATGTTGAGGAGTTTTCCGATTGTGGTTAAGAATTTCCAGTTTCATCGGCCTTATTCTTTTATTTAGTTATTCATTATTTAATATATTTAGCACTCGGTTTTTAACAGGAAACTTTTCTTGCTCAGTGGCTAATCACTCGGCTGGAATAGATGCAAATATTAATGGAACCATCTGTTCGTTAGAGTATGTGTGATTTTAGCATCTCTGAAATCGTCAGACTGAAGCTTGCTTAGATCGCACGATCGTCGTCCGTGCGTCGTCGCGTGGCGTCCGCGTCCGTACCTGTCGACATCGGTGCGTCAACAGTTGGGCAAATCTTAAGTTGACGTCGGTCGGATATTCGGGACGTCGGGTGGGGATCGTCAAAACGAGTTGGGCTTTGGCGAGCTGGGTTCGGGGTCAAGGTCAAAGGCTCAAGACTGGTGTAGACAGGGGAACATTCCTCCTTAGTTAAGATTATAGGGAGGAATGCAGATTGCGCACAATCTAAACGGCTCGACCTGCGTGGCGTGATAGTCGGTGCTATGCATTGGATAGGAGAGCCATCACTGTGCAGAAAATTGAGATGGTCATCAGGTCAAAGGTCAATGGGCACAGTGGGCGATTTAGATTTTCTGGACTGGTCTGAGGCGCATGCGAATTCGAAACTTTTTTTATTCAGCGAGCTGACTGTATTTTATGGCATTATTGAAGGACCATGAATCTCTTTTCTGGCTGACATGGGCGAGGTAGTGTCGATAACTGTTTGACCTTCAAGAGGAGGTTACATGGATTTTTTTGACTGTTGTTAGAAAGACTTGAACTGCCGAGGATTGTAGTAGAATCATTACATGCTCTGGATGTAGAGGTACAATTGTCCGTGATTTCAAAAGCATAATTTGCTGTTAAGAAGCGCTTTATGCTCTAATGGTGATAATTTATATAGCTTCTGTACTGTCAGTTGTTACAGTGTAAGTATGCCACTGCAGTGGTATGCCGTGGCATGTGTTGGTGAGGCGTGTGGAGTTTTATGCTTTTGGTACAGGTGGCAGCTCTCTTATGCGCGCCTGTAGGCTTGCGTGGTAATGGATGAGTGCTTACTTTCTGTCTTGGCAGATTATTGTTTGCTCCAGGTTATAGTATGATGGGCTTCTTTTAATCTTGGAGACCTTAAAGATGCCGCATCTCGTGGGCAACTTCATACTATCCACGAATTTTCTTTAGAGAAAGGTTCTGTTACCATCCTGTGCCTATCCACTGTTTCGGCGTGTATGTGCACACATTTGGGATACAGGTGTTTTACTGAATCCAAGCACCCACACAGGTTCACGCGTGCGTTAGATGAGCGCTGTCGCTAGCCAAGGATTGTTTTCATAACTGGGCTCGTTAGGTATTTAACAATTGATACCAATAGGAGGTAGTAATGCATTGTTAGGCTTGATATCACACGAGTACGGGCTTAAATTATGAATTTCTTTAGTGACCTCTTGGTACGTATAACCAAACATCCGAACTTGTATTGATTATATTTTGAGAAATTTGGCGAGCAGTGTTGGGCTCCGTACGGTGCCAACGACAGCCAGAGCCACTAGAATTTGACCAAGCCTATGGCGATTTTTGGGCCAGTCTAAATCAATGGCAGGGAAGATGGTGACACCGCGTTTCACCCTGTATGCTGGCAGTAACTCATGGTACACCAGAGGTGTGCTCTGTCGACAAGGTGGCGTCGCATCGAGCCCTGGCGGAGATGAACAAGTGACGTTCGACCGTGGAAGTGACGCTATCAACCGCGGTAAGCTGGATGAGAGAAAGCTTCTTCTTGGCGCCGTTTTCAATGTATCGCCGGTGATTGGAAGCTGGTCTGTTCCAAGTCGGCATAGGGACGCTGAACGTGCATGTGTCTATATATGGTTTCTTCCATGGGTGCCTTGAAAATCAGCAGATTTAATGGCATTTTGCTAAGCTAGGGAGTCGTGTCGGAAGCAGTAGAGGCTTGACCTGGCTCCGCATGCCCGCAGTTGAATATTATAGTGTTGCATTTTTGCTCACTTAATGCATTATTCTTGTACTGGCGTCACAATATCTTTGGTTAATTTTTCTCTAGAGTTCGGAAAGAATCTCAAATAGTTCCCTTAGTCCCTGCTCGTTTAGCCCATTGAATGCGTGATATTGCAAGCAGTTTTGCGTCATATGGTGGTTAACGTGACAGTAGGCACGTATGACTTCTACTGATAGGACCAGATGATGCCGCAATAATTAGGATTGTAGCACATAGAATATTTTAATCGAGTACATGCTCATGATGTTGCTGTCTAGAGATCGAGTTGATGCTAATCTAGTGGGGAGGATACCTGGGAAGGCATTGCTGTGTTGATGGTAATAGTGTATATTATTAGATTTAGTGAGGTGGCCGGCAGATATCCTATTTGCAATTAAATGTTGAAATTCTTCCTATCGAATGTTGTATCTTCTCTCAGAAGAATATTGGATTTCTGTATTTTCTTGATGTTCC